CAGTCTACAGAGCCAATGCCGATATTTTGTAGTTTCTTGCATAATATAGTTAACTGTATTACTGATGATCCTCTTTGTCACTTGTTCTCTCTAGGCTGGAGTATTGCTGTACACTGACAGCCCCTTTTATGGCAGGTGAAACTGCAGATCTGGAGACTATACAGATTATTTTTACTGCATGTATAAGTTCAGTCAAGCACAATAATTGTTGGGAGCGTTTGAAGTCCCTTGACCTATACTATTTGGAACAGACGAGAAAGATACATTATAATTTACACCTGGAAAATTCTAGAGGGACTGGGTCCAAATCTGCGCACAGAAATAACTTCTTAAACAGAAGAAGACTCGACAAATGGCGCAACATACCCTCAGTGAAAAGCAGGGGTGTAGTCAATACACTAAGAGAAAACAATAAGTGTCAGGGGTCCAAGACTATTCAACAGCCTCCCAGCTAGTATCACTGATAACTTGACTTTAGTCATTCGTAACACGGCTCTATTATTCATTGAACTCTCCTGTATCTTAGGCTTGAACAAAGTACCAAGTAAGTAAGCTTATTCAAGTACACACAATTACTTTGATTATCATAAAAGTCAGCCAGAGTGACTGAAATATTTCCACTGGGGTCCTTGGCAATGACAGTACAAGGACCCAGGTAATTTACACACATGTTACTATGTATCATAATTGTACTTATGTGTACCTGTACCTTACTTATTACTAAATATTATATATTTTTCCAGTGTCATTTCCTCAACAAGTATGTCTTAAAAATCGTTTTCTTTAGTAGCAAATAAAAGAAAACGCTACTAAGAAGTTCTATTTAGGAGTCCCTTTATTAAAACAACAGCATGTAAATTTTAGTCACATTACATACGTATCTGACTAAAATTGTTCGGATTTCTAACCCCGGAGAGTTAGCCACCCAGGATAACCCACGAAAGGTACTTCGTCATCGAGGACTGTCTCCCAGGATGCGACCCACACCAGTCAACTAACACCCAGGTATCTACTTGCTTGATTGATAGGTGAACGGGACAACAGGTGTAAGGAAATACGCCCGATGTTTCCACCCTTGCCGGGGATCGAACCACGGACAATCAGTGTGTGTGAGGCGAGAGCGTTGCCTACCAGACCACGGGACACAAAAAGTACAACAATAATAATAAACAAAATTAACTTAAGGAAACACGTCCTAATATTTTCACTGGGGTCCTTGTAATATCTTATTATTTAAACCTAAAAAGTTAAAATAGCCAAGTAACTCGACACCGTGAAAATCAGTCATAATGGAAGGAGATATACTAGGAATGAGGTAATAGACAAAACAAACCATGGAATCAGTTGATATGTAAGGCAGTAACTAGTGTGTTATAAATTATTGCTGTTGTAACTGAATTATTAATCAGTTACAACAGCAAAAAGTTATAACAGGTCAGTTACTGCCTGACATGTCAACTTCCTCCGTGGTTTGTCTTCACTTGCAGAATCCTCATTAGATTTAAGGGAAAACGCTAAACCGTAGGGGTCAAGCAGCACTTGGATGAACAGGAGGTATACCTGAAGGGTATTCCGAGAGTCCATACCCCCCGTGGCCCGGTCTGTGACCAGGCCTCGCGGTGGATCAGGGCCTGATCAACCAGGTTGTTACAACTGGCTGCACGTAAACCGACTTACGAACCACAGTGCCGGGTACATGCACTGGCTTTAGGGGCCTGTACACGTTTTGTATTGTCTCAGTGTACTTGTGGCGCTCCTGCTTCTCATTGGGGGATGTTGCACTGCCTGCCTAATCTTTTGCTTTCATAGGGAGTGATTTCTGTGTGTATTATTATTATTATTGTTATAAAAAATAAGCGCTAAATTTCCGTGTGTAGATCTGGGACTAGTCCCTCTAGGATTTTCCAATTGTATATTATGTATCTTTCTCGCCTGCGTTCCAAGGAGTACAGGTCAAGGGCTTTCAACCGTTCCAAAGAATTTAGGTGCTTTATGGTACTTATACGTGCAGTGAAAGCTTTCTGTATATTCCCTAGGTCTGCTATTTATCCTGCCTTGAAAGGGGCTGTTACTATACAGCAATATTCCTTTGATTAACGGCTCACTAAACGCTGAGTCATACTGGGACTTCAGTATATCACTCATTTCTTTGCTGTCATCACTAAGTGCCATATCGTTTAAGCAGGGAGCCAATACTGGATGTGATTTTTGCGCTAGATTTGGCAGGTAATGGGATGAATGTGAGATGTACACTGTAAGAAGTCTAATGTGATGTACAGTGTAAAGTGTATAATGTGAGGTAAACTATGGAAATATATAATGTGAAGTTAGTCTGTTACTAGTTGTGAAGTGTACAATGTGAGGGGTAGGAGCAGTGTATATTGTGAGGTGTACAAGGTGCAGTGTACATTGTGAGGTGTATGCGCAGTGTATATTGTGAGGTGTACAATGTGAAGTGCACAGTTTGAGGTGTACAATGAGGCATAGTGTGATGTGAAATGTGAGGTACACAATGAGATGTGGTGTTCAGTGTGCAGTGCACATCGAACAATGTACAATGTGAGGCGTACAATGTGCAGCGTACAATGAGGTGTGCAGTGTAAAATGTGCTGTGTACAATATGAGATGTACAATGTGCAGTGTACAATGTGAGGTGTACAATGTGAGCTGTACAATGTTCAGTGTACAGTGTTTCCTAGTAATGTATTTAGGGAGAAGCGGAAAACCCGTAGGGGTCATACAACGCCCGGGAATGGAGGCCATCCAGTTGGGTCCAAGGGAAGGATAACTCCTATTCCTTGGATCAAGAGCCACTCACTAGCATCAAGGAACCTCCCCTGAGGAGAGTAACAAGCATTGCGTGTTACTCTCCTCTCCAGGAAGCGCTAAACCCACAGAGGTCATCCAACAGAGCTTGGGGAATGGTTGGTACTAAGATCGGATACCAGGATGGAAAACTCCATTCCCTTGGATCAAAAGTCATTTAAAATTTAGCACGCACGCGAGCTGTGACTCGACCCCTGCAGCCACAAATAGGAGAGTACACACACACGAAAAAAAACACAGTACCTACATTTGCAACATTATTTAAACTGAGGTTTCAATCCTGCCAGTTAACACAAACAAATGTATTTGTAAAAATAGTTTATTTGTGACTTGAAACATAATTATGAGTAACTTTCACAAAAAAAAATAAACTTTAACGCTGTTGATATCCTTTACAAAATATTTCAGAAGCAAATGTAATGATGTTTTATGCGTCTCACGGGATATATACAGAGAGGTGCACATCTCTCAGCGTATATATGCCCAGTTGTCTTGAATCCATATTTTAGGGATTAAAGTATTCTTGTCTAGTAGTGAAGAAGTTATAACGACCCTCAGCATAGTCGATAGGCTTGAAACCCCAATTATCAGCCTACATATCCTGATACCTTTATTAAGGCGTTGTAACGCCTTAATAAAGGTATCAGGGGGCAAGTGATGCAGCAGTCACTAACGTGGAGGCTCCGGTAGACGTAGAGGGGGAAAGTGATTTGTGATGCAGCAGTTACTAAGGTGGAGGCTCCGGTAGACACTGACTGGGCAGTGATGCGTGATGCAGCAGTCACTAAGGTGGAGGCTCCGGTAGACACTGACGGGGCAATTGATGCGTGATGCAGCAGTCACTAAGGTGGAGGCTCCGGTAGACGTAGAGGGGGAAAGTGATTTGTGATGCAGCAGTTACTAAGGTGGAGGCTCCAGTAGACGTTGAGGGGGCAAGTGAAGTGTAACGCATCAGTCACTAAGGTGGAGGCTCCAGCAGACGTTGAGGAGGCAAGTGAAGTGTAACGCAGCAGTCACTAAGGTGGAGGCTCCGGTAGACGTTGAGGGGGCAGGTGAAGTGTAACGCAGCAGTCACTAAGGTGGAGGCTCCGGTAGACGTTGAGGGGGCAGGTGAAGTGTGATGCAGCAGTCACTAAGGTGGAGGCTCCGGTAGACGTTGAGGGGGCAGGTGAAGTGTGATGCAGCAGTCACTAAGGTGGAGGCTCCGGTAGACGTTGAGGGGGCAGGTGAAGTGTGATGCAGCAGTCACTAAGGTGGAGGCTCCGGTAGACGTTGAGGGGGCAAGTGAAGTGTAACGCAGCAGTCACTAAGGTGGAGGCTCCGGTAGACGTTGAGGGGCAGGTGAAGTGTGATGCAGCAGTCACTAAGGTGGAGGCTCCGGTAGACGTTGAGGGGGCAAGTGAAGTGTAACGCAGCAGTCACTAAGGTGGAGGCTCCGGTAGACGTTGAGGGGGCAGGTGAAGTGTGATGCAGCAGTCACTAAGGTGGAGGCTCCGGTAGACGTTGAGGGGGCAGGTGAAGTGTGATGCAGCAGTCACTGAGGGTAAAGTCTCGGAAAGACGTAGGCACATCAACCGCCTTCGTTATGGTTTTCGCTCCACAATTATGTTGCCTCTTCAAACTTACCATACAAATTATTGTTCTATTGACAAAAAAAAAAAAACTAAATCCGTATAGGTCAATCAGTGCTAAAACAAATAATAAGACTAATAATAACTCAGTAAGGTATAAAGTTCCAGCCTTTATCAACGTTAACAAGCAAACGAAAACTTGGATTAAATAACATTATCACCCTACGTGAAAGAGAATAATTTATAGGCAATGTAAGAAGATTATTACAGTCAACATTACCATCAGATTTCACAATTTAAAACCAATAAATAAACTTAAGAACTTCAAAAATTCTAATTCAGTCGTAGGCAAAAAAATAAAATACGAAAAATCAACTTAAATATCCTTAAATATAAACAAGTAAATAATTAGGTACAATATATGTAACAATATAATACTTGAAGGGTAAACAAGTTGCTTGTGTAAACAAGTGATTAACAGACACACGCATTCCCAGAACCAGGAAACACTACACTACAATTATAATACATTTCTAGGGTATGCATGCATATATACAATATATATATATATATATATATATATATATATATATATATATATATATATATATATATATATATATATAGTTATCCCTTATGTGATGGAGATGTCATAAAAGATCATTTCTCGTGTGTGTTGGATAGACCATCGTGAGAGATGGCAATTAACAGGTAACAGCAACTCCACCTGTGTTGGAACGGAACCTCTGAAGCTCCCGTAGCTGATGAACCCTTATTGGAAATACTTGAAAATATCCTCAGTGCCCTAGTGAAGTTTCCTAGCTCAAGCTGACAGATTTCAACACTATGTGTGAATACATCCTGTGTGATGGAATATAACAGGGAAACAGATATGCTTTTGTTTCCTCTTTCTATCATGTAAAATATGGTAGCAGCACATTGCTAATGTATTCAATTTTGTTTAAAAAATATATTAAACGGTTGAGTCTTTGTTGACAGCACCCGTTGTTTCTGTTGGAGTCCCTTTATCCGATCCTTTCTTCTTGTCTTCCTCCGTGTTCACCTTATCCACATCCTTCGGGGTTTTGCTGGTTGCTTCTGATGTTGTCTGGACTGCCTCGCGTGGCTGAGTCTTGCTTCCTTGTTCTACGACCTCTTCTTTTGTACCCACTTTCTCCTCCTTCTCCTCTTTGCTCTTCTTAGAGTTGCCACTCTTTATCGGCTCCTTTGAGTCATCGGAAGTAGCTGATGGAAATAAAAGATTTTTATCAGCATTCATTGGATAATCAATATTCTGCAAACGCCCAATAAAGGCAAGAGCATGGAGCGAAGAGGTGGGAAGATGAAGGTGATGGGGAAGCAGGGATTTTACAGTGGATATATACACAGAGATGTGCATCTTTGTGTACATACCACGAGAGTTCATTAGTTTACGGACTGATGTTCTTGAATATCAGTATACTGGTTAAGTGCAGTCTTACCGACACCCGTGCAGTCGTCTGGCTTCTAACTTAATACGTTAACATGGTGGAAGGGATATCTTATAAGGCTACATATAGTATGTAAATCTCAATAGATAGTGTCATGTAGACACTATCCAATATTCATATTACCACGTCCTAATATTAACATTTCCAAAAATTAATATTAAAATATTCTAATGCTCATTCTAACATCCATTCTAACTCGTCCTAACACCCAATATAATATTCGTCCAAATACATTCTATACACTAACAACCGTCTTGAATATTCAGACACCAATCCAATTCTAACACGTCCTACCACTTCCCTAACAATCATTTATCCTAACATCAGTCCCAAGACTTATCCTACATTACATCCCGACTCATCACATCATTACCCATGTTGGGTGAGGAAGTCTGAGTGGAACTCACACCTGGAAACACCAACTTTCTTATTACTGGGAACCGAGACAAATGCAAGTTGTCCACAAAGTCGCGCATCATAGGAACAACACTTATTTGCAAAGATTACTTAAATGAATTCAGTACATTATAAAGTAATTCCCTATGATGTGAGACTTTTTGGGTGTATATTCTCCAAGTTGTTTATGAAGGTACTTTTTCATTATAATTTATAGTTTGTTGGTGCCATCTGTCTTCCTAAAGCAGCGTCACTGTTTTAAGTCTAACTGACGAGGAGTTCTGGTCTGGGACCAGAGCAGTGAAATCAATTACAGGTGACCTACAAGAACATCCTTTGGCTTCCCGACTTCTTGTCCCTTGACTAATTTATATATGAAATTTTATGTAAGGCGTGACAAAGACTAGTATTTGACATAGGGACTCACACTGAACAGATTCTTAGGCTTTAACGATTAACATGTGAGAGAGGCTTGCAACACTTTGAATAAAGACTAGCACTTAAAAGAGGCATATAACTGACAGACTTGACAGATTTATGCTAGATACAGACTAACACTTAAGACACGAGACTTACGCTTGGGCTTGACACAGAGACGGCCACACTCTCCCACAAGGCAACACTTGCAGGAGTCTGGACACTGAATGTCATGTTTACATTGATCTTTACGACTCATGCACATGATCCCGAACGCCTTGGGTGTTTCACACAGTCCTGGCCTGTCTGTGGGAGAGCAGGAAGGTATGGGTGGAGTAACAGTAATGAGGGAAAAATATATTTCAGATAAGAAGAGCTGAGTTGGATGTGGAAGTAGAATGGTGGGAGGAAGAAGGAATAAAGTTAGGAAAACATCGAGGTAAAGAGGATAGTGTTGAGAGGTAGGGAGTAGATAAGGACGAAACAAATTAAGACAAATTTCATAAGCAGGTGGAGAGTCGGAAGAAGAGGAAGAGATAGAAGTTAAAGAATTTTTCAGGGAAAGAAGAAATTGGGAGACGAAGGAATATGAGATGGAGGGTGTGAGAGATGCGGCACAGGCAAGTGTTGGAGGGTGCAACAACAAATATTCATTAACAATTAGATGCAAACAGCATTATATGCTATCAAATTATAATTGATAAAAATAATATTTATATAAAACCAAAATTATGACTTATTTCCAGAGCAATTTGCATTCATTATCATGAAAGAAAGTGCATTATTTAATGTTTCATTTGGAAGTATGGTATTCTTGATTATATTAATCAATAAAGCACACACAGTGTGGGAAAACTGAACTTACAAAAATTTCATATAGTTTTTATATGCACTTTGTTTGAGTGAATTATTTCATCCATAATATTGTGATTTATTCTCTGGCAAGATTAATGACTCTGGTGTCACAGAATTTATCTTCCCTCGTGCACCTAGTCTGACACATTTGGTAATGCGCATTAATAGGTAAATTCAGGCTTTATAGGGAAAAATGGAAGCCATTTCAAGAAATACTGGTATCAGATCCACAATATCCACCATGCTCTTCCTCCCGACCACACTCATTCATATTGTTTCTTATATCTAAGTAGAACACAATGTGATCCATTGATTTTTTCAGTGATAAAGATCCGTAACACGGGTACACCAGCCGTTCTTTCCCACTATGTGGGGAGCATGTGGCTAGCACTAGCTTTAGTAGACTTTTCACACTAAGAAAAAAATGTCTACCCTTCCCTATGAGAGGTGTACTTCGGGGCAAATGTACCACTGTGACGTACCTGTCTTCCTCTGGGGTGTGATGCGGGCCTTTGTTGGTGCTGCTGTTGGTGCAGCCAGCCACCCGTTGACACCAACACGTCGTATCTCTTCTGTTGTCAGCTCCTCCCTCGCTGCTGCCTCCGTAACCTCCTTCGTCAACTCTTTAGCTGCCTCCGTCACTGTCTCCGCCACTGCCTGGGTAGTAGCTCCAGTGGCAGCAGTACGGGACTTTGGACGCCACAGTGAGGGTCTCTTGCGGCTTGAGGCTGCAGTGGTGGCGTTGATGGTAGTGGTGTCGGCGATAGTGGTGGTGTCGACGTTGGTAGTTGTGGTAGCAGGTGTGGTGGTGGTGCTGTTGACTCTTCCCTGGGTTCGACACCTCCTCCCTCGGCAGTTGTTTGGCGCAGTGTTGACTGCTGTCACCTGTAGGAGGGATAAACCAGTGATGCTCCTCACGACACTCCTTGTCGTTAACATAATAAAAATAAGATCTATAATTGTAATGCCATCAACAACTCTATACATACATATAATAACTTTAAATCAATCTACACACATATAATAACTTTAAACTACGTTATATATATATACAACCTCAACCACTCTACATATACATAACTTCAACCACTATACGTACACACAATAACCTCAACCACTGTATGTACACACAATAACCTCAACCACTATATGTACACATAACCTCAACTACTCTACATATACACAAAATAAATAATAGATATAAAAAAATCTTATTTTTAAGTTCAGAGGAAAAATCCTAGTTGAAGCTCATCACTGAAAACTGTCACTCCAGCCGACTGTTTTAATCCCCTAGACTGTCTCCATGTGAGTGTGCCACACCCCACTTAAGGCAGGATGTGGCGCAGCTTTCACCAAGCCTCAAGGTTACACCAAGGATGCCAAGAATTTGACAAACCATACATCGGTACCATAAAACTATGTACTTCCTCCATATATTGTACATTTATCTGCTGACCTGTTGCCTACGTTATTACACGTTATTATATGTTTGTTTCTCTTTGCTCATTTCCCTACTTTATTGCCAATAATATATATTAGGTATTCTACCAGTGAAAATGAATCATGCGCCTAAAAAAATAATTATTACCGAGCTGTGTCTAACATAGCACCACACTGAGCTGTGTCTAACACAGCATCACACTGAGCTGTGTCTAACACAGCATCACACTGACCTGTGTCTAACACAGCATCACACTGAGCTGTGTCTAACAGCATCACACTGAGCTGTGTCTAACACAGCATCACACTGAGCTGTGTCTAACAGCATCACACTGAGCTGTGTCTAACAGCATCACACTGAGCTGTGTCTAACACAGCATCACACTGAGCTGGGTCTAACACAGCATCACACTGAGCTGTGTCTAACACAGCATCACACTGAGCTGTGTCTAACACAGCATCACACTGAGCTGTGTCTAACGCAGCATCACACTGAGCTGTGTCTAACACAGCATCACACTGAGCTGGGTATAACACAGCATCACACTGAGCTGGGTATAACACAGCATCACACTGAGCTGGGTATAACACAGCATCACATTGAGCTGGGTATAACACAGCATCACACTGAGCTGTGTCTAACACAGCATCACACTGAGCTGGGTATAACACAGCATCACACTGAGCTGGGTATAACACAGCATCACACTGAGCTGTGTCTAACACAGCATCACACTGAGCTGGGTATAACACAGCATCACACTGACCTGGGAATAACACAGCATCACACTGAGCTGGGTATAACACAGCATCACACTGAGCTTGGTATAACACAGCATCACACTGAGCTGTGTCTAACACAGCATCACACTGAGCTGGGTATAACACAGCATCACACTGAGCTGTGTCTAACACAGCATCACACTGAGCTGGGTATAACACAGCATCACACTAAGCTGGGTATAACACGGCATCACACTGAACTAGGTATAACACAGCATCACACTGAGCTGTGTCTAACACAGCATCACACTGAGCTGTGTCTAACACAGCATCACACTGAGCTGTGTCTAACACAGCATCACACTGAGCTGTGTCTAACACAGCATCACACTGAGCTGTGTCTAACACAGCATCACACTGAGCTGTGTCTAACACAGCATCACACTGAGCTGTGTCTAACACAGCATCACACTGAGCTGTGTCTAACACAGCATCACAATGAGCTGTGTCTAACACAGCATCACACTGAGCTGTGTCTAACACAGCATCACACTGAGCTGGGTATAACACAGCATCACATTGAGCTGTGTCTAACACAGCATCACACTGAGCTGGGTATAACACAGCATTACACTGAGCTGTGTCTAACACAGCATCACACAGAGCTGTGTCTAACACAGCATCACACTGAGCTGGGTATAACACAGCATCACACTGAGCTGGGTCTAACACAGCATCACAATGAGCTGTGTCTAACACAGCATCACACTGAGCTGGGTATAACACAGCATCACACTGAGCTGTGTCTAACACAGCATCACACTGAGCTGGGTATAACACAGCATCACACTGAGCTGGGTATAACAGCATCACACTGAACTGTGTCTAACACAGCATCACACTGAGCTGTGTCTAACACAGCATCACGCTGAGCTGGGTATAATACAGCATCACACTGAGCTGGGCATAACACAGCATCACACTGAGCTGTGTCTAACACAGCATCACACTGAGGTGGGTATAACACAGCATCACACTGAGCTGTGTCTAACACAGCATCACACTGAGCTGGGTATAACACAGCATCACACTGAGCTGTGTCTAACACAGCATCACACTGAGCTGGGTATAACACAGCATCACATTGAGCTGGGTATAACACACCATCACACTGAGCTGTGTCTAACACAGCATCACACTGAGGTGGGTATAACACAGCATCACACTGAGCTTTAACACAGCATCACACTGAGCTTTAACACAGCATCACACTGAGCTGTGTCTAACACAGCATCACACTGATATGTGTTACACAGTAAGCATTATACTGAGGTGAGTAACACGGTAAGCATCATACTGAGGTGAGTGTAACACGGTAAGCATTATACTGAGGTGAGTAACACGGTAAGCATCATACTGAGGTGAGTGTAACACGGTAAGCATCATACTGAGGTGAGTAACACGGTAAGCATCATACTGAGGTGAGTGTAACACGGTAAGCATCATACTGAGGTGAGTGTAACACGGTAAGCATCATACTGAGGTGAGTGTAACACGGTAAGCATCATACTGAGGTGAGTGTAACACGGTAAGCATCATACTGAGGTGAGTGTAACACGGTAAGCATCATACTGAGGTGAGTGTAACACGGTAAGCATCATACTGAGGTGAGTAACACGGTAAGCATCATACTGAGGTGAGTAACACGGTAAGCATCATACTGAGGTGAGTGTAACACGGTAAGCATCATACTGAGGTGAGTAACACAGTAAGCATCATACTGAGGTGAGTAACACGGTAAGCATCATACTGAGGTGAGTGTAACACGGTAAGCATCATACTGAGGTGAGTAACACGGTAAGCATCATACTGAGGTGAGTAACACGGTAAGCATCATACTGAGGTGAGTGTAACACGGTAAGCATCATACTGAGGTGAGTAACACGGTAAGCATCATACTGAGGTGAGTGTAACACGGTAAGCATCATACTGAGGTGAGTAACACGGTAAGCATCATACTGAGGTGAGTGTAACACGGTAAGCATCATACTGAGGTGAGTGTAACACGGTAAGCATAGCATCAAGTCTAACATCATCAAAAGTTTACATCAACCGTATAATTTCACCGTAACCTACAAAAAGCAGCTTAAGAACTACCTTCAGGAACCTTAAGATTACATTAGGACAATATAAAGAATTTACGTTAAGCCCAAATATAAGTATGCGGCACCAGCATGGTACCCGCGCCTGATCAAGGACGTAGAAAGTAGAGGAGATGCAATGGTTAGCAACGAGGGTTGGTTTCTGAATTGAGACAGAGACTACGAGCTGAGACTTACGGAACTTTACTTGTCAAGGCTAGTGGAGTGGAGGACATACACAATACTCAGGGTATTATTTACGTTCTAACGCTAGATAAAGAGGTAGCAGGAGGCAAATATCATGTACAGTTTCAAAAGTAGGCATATGATCGGTCCGTGGAGGCCATTAATCAGTAAAAGTGGTCGATAAGAGTTAAGAGGCGTGAATAATAGCCGTGAATGGACCCCTGAAAAGACACAGTTTTTTAACTGCCTTAATGACATGCCATGTTTTATCTTGTTAAGAAATTAATGACATGGCATGTCTCATCTTAAGAAATCAATGTGCTTTATTAATATAAACAAACACTTTAATGTGCATAACAAGTGCGCATAACTTAGAAGATTTCACGTCCATGTGAATAACCTAATGGAAGATATCGCCTCTGCTAGGAAAATAACATGTTTTAATGACAAAACTTTATGAACATTGATAATTGTGTAATATCTTGTGAAATTTTGGTTAAAATTAGCAAGCAAGTGCTAAGCTTGAAAAACTTTAGAAATGCGTTCATCACTGACCATGAGAAGTAACATCTATATTACGTAAACAAGTATATACCAAAGGTCGTTTTTTTCTGTTGTAAGGAGAAAGTTAGTGCACGTCCTAGCCCGAGCCTGGAGAGTCAGCGAGGACGCGGAAGTAACTCCCTCTGGCTCGTACATACGTTACAGTGAGGTGTGAAGTGTTAACATGTTATACAAGAATTTCCCATTCTCTCCTCTGTGTCAGCACAACGTAGACCTGTGATAAACAGTGACATTAACTCAAGTGATCACTGGGGAAGGGAGAGCTGAGGTAATCAAGTGCTGATCTCTCCAGGGCTCAACGAGAGATGTAAAACATCCCTAACTTTCACTGGTCCCGGATAACAGGGGCGGACTCTTCTCTCTTGTACTCGTTCCACCCTATCCCCCATCCATCCATCTATATCTATCTCTAATTCTCCCCTCCTCTCTCTCTCTCCCCCTTTCTTACATATTCATCGAATTGGATTCACCCAACTGCAAGAGGATCGAATTCCATAACGTGGCTAGCGTCTCAAGCATTAATAAAATGATGTTACTGTAAGCACTCCAACCAATACTAACTTCTAATTTTCTCATATTTACTTCTGTATTCATGTGTTACGTTGGCATCTACTATGTAACCTAGTGTTCTTACTTGTTGCAACACCCTCACGCCTCAAGAAATTCCTCTCTTTATTCTTTCATCACATTTCAACATTTAGTTTCTTTTTTGAACTCTCTCGTCATGGACATATAGAAAGGACGATGCAGAGCAGGTGCCTGGCACAACAGAGCAGATGCCTGGCACAACAGAGCAGGACAAAAGCCAAGCTAGCCACTTTGGACTAGCAC